CACACTTTCTCAGTCTTTCTTTCATTGTCACTTTCAGTGTCACTCTCATTTTGAGGCAAATTCACTCCTGAGCTAGTGCTGTCCGCTCCGTCACACAGCAGACCGGCTTTGCGAAACCTGTTGGTAATGGTGGTTTGTTCACACTGCTCCACACTGTCAGGATCCACTGGCAGACTTGTGCAGAAGTTGCTCTTCTCATACGGCCTGTTTTGGGAAACAATTTCTCGCCGCTGGTCATCAAAGCCTCCCATTCAACTTGAAGTGCCACTTTAAATGCACGATTCACACGAATGTCAAGTGGCTGCAAATACTTTGTTGTGCCCCCAGGATTCACATCCGGAATTGAGTTTATCCTCTTGATGGCTGCTTTCACAGAATCTGTAATATCAGCTGTCCAAAAACGAATAATGCTTTTTTTCTAGGAAAAAATCCTCCCGGTCGCTTGCCGTAACACTCGGTCAACCATTGCTTCATGAGGCTTTCTACCATCCATCCTTTCTAGTTCACTTTCACAACAATAGCCCCGTTCACACGGCAACGTTTGGTCCGACGCAGCTCCGAAATAAATCCAGTCGAGCATTCACACGTGCACATTTGCTCCGGCGTAGCTCCACTAAAGAGCTTATACCGGACCAAATTTGATCCACCTCAGGGAGGTGGTTTAAAAATTTGCTCCAGAGCAAATGCTCGTTTGCGACGCTACGCCGAAACAAATGTGCACGTGTGAACGCAGCTGGATTAAATTTGCTCCAGGGCAAATGCTCGCTTGCGGGGGAGTGGCCTCGCTACGCTCGCTACCAGACGCACGGAATCCGACCCCGGTCGACAGTGACGAGGGGGCCAGCGACACAGCCCGGCCGTGGACCCCCGTCCCCGGTAAAAGTGTCGGCGATTTAAGCGGTGAAGACAGCGCTCACGATCAAGATGAGAATCGAGAAAGCAGTGACGTCAGCCGAGCCCGATTTGCAGGCCCGAGCCCGAAGCAAACCCGACATTTCATATGTTATTTGTGAGTATTTTTGGGAGAAAAAAAACACAAGATTTCTTACGGTTAAAATAATCTACATATTTTTATGAACATTATCAATGCATTTGCACAACGAAATAACGCTGAAATACAGAATAAGAGGCCAGACAAAGAGAAATCTCGATGTGCATTTGCTTAATTACGCAGAGAAATCCTGCGGCTTACTAGGCTTTAAATAGAATAATTCAAATGAAATAAATAGGTAAAGATATCTGAAATTATTTCTACAGGATTGTTTAAACGAAATTAACATACGTGCCCACTGGTCGGGCCGGCCGCGCTCCTGTTTAGCAGTTAAATAGCAATTAAATAACAGCGCATTCTCTGTTTTATCCAAATTGTTTGTTTTAAAACAAGTATTCCTTAGTTTAGTATCCGCACATTGTTTTAGTATACATTTTTTAAAACATATATTGTGGCAGTCATATAAGGAGCACACACGATTGACTGTAAACACGTCTTTATTCCACGACTGCGACAAGTGGATCTATTCTGAACAAGGACAGAATAGTGTCCGCCATAATATTTATTGAAAGAAAAATAAATAAAAGTCCGCGAGAGAGAAGCCCGACCCGAACCTGTTTTACTTCCGCATTCCTGTCATTTTGGTCCGGAGCAGAAATTGCACGTGTGACCGCAAGTGGAGCTGCTTCGACGCTGCGCCGGAGTTGTCACGCTCAGCGGCTTTGCACGTGTGACCGCTCCACAAAATTTGCTCCAGTGTAAAATACATCGCAACAAAATATTTCGGTGCAGCATCGGACCAAATGTGTGCCGTGTGAACAGGGCTATTGTCTTTCGGTAGCTTTTCTTTTGGCATTGTAATCCGTTTAAAAATGACCATTGGTGGAAGCTTTAGTCCGGATGCAGTGCAGCCCAAAACACAGGTGAAGTGTGTCCTCTCGTGGCCGATTGTTTTCAGTGTGACAGAGGCTTCACCTTTCTTGTTAATGGTCCGAATGAGGGGCAAGTACTTCATCCATATTTATGATGAATGAATTCTCTGCTTTCTTTGATTGAATGCATTTGTGAAAATTTGCGACTTGTTCCTTGTCGTCGGGAGAGAGTTGCTGACGCGGAGTTGTCCGTGCCCTGATGGACAGACCTTTTCGTTTCATAAATCTCAGACACCACGAGGGTCCTCCTTTAAAATCCAGAATTTTCTTTTCGGCAGCTATTGTTTTGGCTTTCAGTCGGATCAGCACAGTGGAAACACTTCGGCCATCTGTTCTCTCTGTGTTCACCCAGTCTTCAAGAACGTTTTCCAGTTTGGGCCACCTACTTTTATGACCTCTGAAAGCTTTTGTCATCTTTATACATTGCTCCAGTTCTTCCCGCTGCCGTTTCCAGTGTCTCACCATTGATTCACTGATGCCAAGTTTACGTGCAGCAGCTCTATTCCCTTCTTCATCAGCCAGCTGGATTGCTTTTATCTTAAAATCTGCGTCACATGCATTTCTTGAACATTTTACATTGTGGGGCTTTATGTTAATCTTATTAATGCATGAAGCAACAAATGACATGAAAAGTCCAAACTAGCGTCTTCCTCGACACATATATTCCATCTGTCTCACTCTTTTCTGCTCAAGCGCTCCCTGGCGGCCGTTAGAAAAATGCATAAACAGGCCGCATCATTGCATAAACCGCAGGGTTGAAAACGTGTGACAAAAATCGTGGCTTGTAGTCCGGAAATTATGGTACATATGTTTTGGCTTTGTCCTTCATTAAACTGATATTGGTCCAATATTTTGACTGTGCTGTCCAAGGTCACACGGGTGTTTCACAGCTTGTGACGCTTCCCCCCCACCTTCCTCCCCTCCCTGCCCCACCCTGTTTATTACATGTGTTGAGCTTTTTTTTTTCTATGTTTCAAACCATGCGCCATTGAAGGAGAATGGTTGGAGTCTATCTTTTTGTTTTCTGTCACCCCCATGTTAGTTATTGCTGTCTAGTTTATGGTCCTCTGAACAGGTTGTCACTGGGAAGTAAATTCCTTGTATGTTTCTTGCATACTTGACCAATAAGTCTGATTCAGATTCTGAATGCAAAACCAGCAGACATTCCAGCAGCTTCTCCCCCCTTGTCAATAACTTGCGAAAAAAATGATTTGATTTTTAATTCCTGAGTGAAATTTTGTCAATTTCTTCCAATTTTGCATTGTGTTGTGACATTTTTGCCGAATTCATTGTTGTCACATTATTTTCATAACCATCGTTGATCTTTACGATTGCACTGCTGGTCACGTTAAATTGCTTTAGGCCTCTCGGGATCATTTACATAATTGTCATTTTATCAGTTCTCTCATTCTATGGGACACAATATAATTTCTCAATGGCACCATTCTTCAGGTTTATGTCCAAAATGTACATTTTGTTTGCTGTAGTGTTAGGGTGGCTCTACCTACCAGTGATAAATTTATTGTGTATTTTAATCGGGTAAGTAATGGTGATTCTGATTTTTATTTTCACACGGACATTATGGGCGCAAAATAATACAATATGTAACAAGTGAAAAGCTGTGGGTTTTTTCAGCCACATATTTTACTCGAAAGGGCTGATAACTGATATCATGGCACATGATTATTTCAACTCATGTGCCATGGTATCGGATTTGATACTGACGAATTCAGAGGGGACAAACTGCTTAGTTGTCTTTGCAAAGCAACAGTACCTTTCATCAATGACACCACACAGCTCCTTGTTGCTTGACTGATTAAAAATAAATAAATAAACATTTTTTTCAGCAGTTTGAAGTCATGTTACGACTCCATGTACCTGCGCATAAGATCCCAGCGGTGGTGAACTTTTGTGTGCTCTACTCATTTGAAAATGACTCAATTAACTGATGCCTTACAGCTTGGCATCATGTCAAAGAAATACCGCTTGGCAATACCCACTGAATAGAAACCACTTACTGTAATTGTGTGAAAACAAAAGAGAATGAATTAAATAATTCACCTTAACAAGGGCCCCACCAAGTGATATAAGCTCTCTGGTCATGACTGTGAGGCGACAGAAGAGAGACGGAACCAGGACTGACAACAACGCAAGCCTGAGAGGGTTTCCAAGAGCAAACTTGAGTGTGTGTGGTGAGTACTATCGCCATCCTGAAGTATTTTCAGGGAACACAACGTTAATGTTGGACATGTTTGGTGTTGCGCTTTGTACACTCAAGTGAAAAATATTCATTTTGACTCAGGTTTCATTGTATCACACACTTCCAAACCAAACATATGACAAAAATGTTTTAATTACAGACAACACCTTCATCAGTGAAGTCGTGAAATATCCATCCTTCAAGAATGCTTGAACAATCAAAAATGAACCATCTAATGTGATTTTTATTGTTAGTATATTTTTTCACAAACATCACAAAGATTATTTTATTTATTTATTTATTTTAAGTTAAATCAGGGCGGCCCAATGGTCCTAGTAGTGCAGAGGTGCAAGGTTCGATTCTGGCTGCAACCTTCCTGTGTGGAGATTGCATGTTCTCCCCATGCCTGCGTGGGTTTTCTCCGGGTACTCCGATTTCCTCCCGCATTGTAAAGACATGCGTGGCAGGTTAATGGAACACTCCAAATTGTCCGCAGGTGTTAGTGAGGGCGCGGATGGTTGTTTGTCTCTGTGTGTCCTGTGATTGGCTGGCGACCAGTTCAGGGTGTACCCTGCTGGCTTACCAAAGACAGCTGGGATCGGCTCCAGCACACCCCGCGACCCCTGTGAGGATAAAGCGGATCAGAAAATGGATGGATGAAAGTTAATCAAGTGGCCGCTCAGAGTGTTCCTCCTGTGGCCGTGGGCCACCAGTTGCCCATCCCTGGTCTTCTATTTTTAATTAATACGTGAGACATTATCATGTCAAAGAAATACCGCTTGGCAATACCCACTGAATAGAAACCACTTACTGTAATTGTGTGAAAACAAAAGAGAATGAATTAAATAATTCACCTTAACAAGGGCCCCACCAAGTGATATAAGCTCTCTGGTCATGACTGTGAGGCGACAGAAGAGAGACGGAACCAGGACTGACAACAACGCAAGCCTGAGAGGGTTTCCAAGAGCAAACTTGAGTGTGTGTGGTGAGTACTATCGCCATCCTGAAGTGTTTTCAGGGAACACAACGTTAATGTTGGACATGTTTGGTGTTGCGCTTTGTACACTCAAGTGAAAAATATTCATTTTGACTCAGGTTTCATTGTATCACACACTTCCAAACCAAACATATGACAAAAATGTTTTAATTACAGACAACACCTTCATCAGTGAAGTCGTGAAATATCCATCCTTCAAGAATGCTTGAACAATCAAAAATGAACCATCTAATGTGATTTTTATTGTTATTATATTTTTTCATAAACATCACAGAGATTATTTTATTTATTTATTTATTTTAAGTTAAATCAGGGCGGCCCAATGGTCCTAGCAGTGCAGAGGTGCAAGGTTTGATTCTGGCTGCAACCTTCCTGTGTGGAGATTGCATGTTCTCCCCATGCCTGCGTGGGTTTTCTCCGGGTACTCCGATTTCCTCCCGCATTGTAAAGACATGCGTGGCAGGTTAATGGAACACTCCAAATTGTCCGCAGCTGTTAATGAGGGCGCGGATGGTTGTTTGTCTCTGTGTGTCCTGTGATTGGCTGGCGACCAGTTCAGGGTGTACCCTGCTGGCTTACCAAAGACAGCTGGGAAAGGCTCCAGCACCCGCCGCAACCCCTTTGAGGATAAAGCGGATCAGAAAATGGATGGATGAAAGTAGTCGACGTGCTAACCAGCGGACTACCGGGCCGCCGAGACATTATTTAGTGTTTCCTTTATGCTTACCATATTTGTACATTGGAACAATGCATATTTTTTTTAGTTGTGTCAAAGATGTAACATTTCCGTAATGCTGCATGAAGAAAAATGCTTTCATTATTTTAGGAATGATGGGCAATGCAACTTGATATATACATTGCAGAATTACAACATTTAAAATCATTTAAAAATAAAAGAACTGAAGACACTTAAAACAAAGTCCAGAGACAAAAGAGAAAGTACCGTACTAAAATTACTTCGACAGTGGAAGAAACATATTTTTACAGCTGTATTTAAGTAAAAAAAAAAAACCTTTATCAGAGCCCTTTATAAGAGCATAGTTTTTAACTTGGACTTGAAAGCAGTCACACTTGGGGCTGACTTCATACTCCCAACAAATAACATAAAGTCTTTTGGTGTTCAATGAATTTTGTTTTTCAGGTTTAAATGGCTAACATTGAAACATGTTTTGGACCCAAGTGATCCATCAATGACATTCTTAATGTCTTTGAGTCGGTGCAAGAAAAAAAAAATCTCTCCTCGTGACAAAGCTTGCTGGGGTGATATGCTCCACTTTGTCAGCCTCATTATCCTGACACTTGCACAAAAAAGCAACGTTGCAATTCATCTTTGGCAAGCCCCCCGCGACCCCTGTGAGGATAAAGCGGATCAGAAAATGGATGGATGAAAGTTAATCAAGTGGCCGCTCAGAGTGTTCCTCCTGTGGCCGTGGGCCACCAGTTGCCCATCCCTGGTCTTCTATTTTTAATTAATACGTGAGACATTATTGAGTGTTCCATTTATGCAAACCATATTTGTACATTGGAACATTGCCTATTTTTTTATTTGTTTCAAAGATGTAACATTTCCGTAACGTTGCATGAAGAAAAATGCTTTCATTACTTTTGGAATGATGGGCAATGCAACTTGATTTGTACAACGCAGAATTACAACATTTAAAAGCATTTAAAAATAAAAGAACTTTAGACACTTAAACCAAGCCGAGAGACAAAAGACAAAGTACTAAAATTACTTCGACAGTGGAAGAAACATATTGTTACAGCTGTATTTAATTGAAAAAGAAAACTTTATAAACAGCCCTTTATAAGAGCATAGATTTTAACTTGGACTTGAAAGCAGTCACACTTGGGGCTGACTTCATACTCCCAACAAATAACTAAAAGTCTTTTGGTGTACAATGAATTTTGTTTTTCCGGTTTTTATGGCTAACATTGAAACATGTTTTGGACCCAAGTGATCCATCAATGACATTCTTAATATCTTTGAGTCGGTGCAAGAAAAAAAAAAAAAAATCATCTCTCCTCGTGACAAAGCTTGCTGTGGTGGTGTGCTCCACTTTGTCAGCCTCATTATTCTGACAGTTGCACAAAAAAGCAACATTGCAATTCATCTTTGGCAAACCGGAGGTTAGCACAATTGAGTTCAGACCTTTGGGGGGAAAAACTAAAAGTGTTTCCGTACTTGCGGATGCATGACATGCACAAGAGTCGGCCAAAGTTCTCATGCTGTTGAGACTATGGATGGTGCTTCAAAAACAAACCAAAAACAAAACTTACTTTCCGCTTTACTTTTTTTACAGCAAAAATAGAATTTAAAAAGTCACATATCAAAGGAATGTTCCAAGCGATATTGCTGGAAACCCACGTTGTTTTGTGACAATTGCTTTGTGTCTCACACACACACACACACACACACACACACACACACACACACACACACACACTTCCTTGAGGAGTTTGGTCACTGTTAAGAAAAGTTGTTTTCGAATGGAGACACTGTTCAGATGTTCGAGTCAGTGAAGCAAAAATATTAGCACCGAAGTCAGTTCTTTTTGACATGTTTGTTTTCACAAAAAGCTATTTTTCTCCAAAGTTTGTGAGAAGTGGATGAATTTTGTAAAATTTTACTGTGTTCTCCTGCTGATTACTAAAGAACAAAAAATTCTAGAAAGGTAGAATCAACCTTTTATTGTCCACTGGTTAACCCAAAACATTCTTGAAAAACTGGTGATATTCTGTCAATAAGCATTTTCCCCACCAAATGGGGGATGGTCCCACGAAAAAATATTTGAAATTTGAAACAAACAATTTCCAAATAAGTGAGGAGATGCGACAATGCTGGATGTCCACTGTGCTCTACAGTGCAAACCTTTGTGAACAAGTAGTTTGTGAAGTTAAAAGCTTTTGCACGGCGAGGCTTTGTGTGACCGTGGAACCACGTTCGTCAATGACAGAAAAAAAATTTATTACCTGAAAAGTAGTGGTGGAAGCAAATATGAGAATTCCGTCCAATGGCAACATTAAGATTGGCAGGGAGTTATGACTCTTCTTCCCAGTCTCAGTCCAGGTGTCTCGTAGCAAGACATGGAACCTGGGCCTCACCAAACTGAGTGTGTCCAAGCAGCCATTTCTCCCATCATGTTCACCAGATGGACTTTCTTTCGATGTATGTTTACCGTCCCTTTTCACTGTCTTTTTAGGACATCATCAGCTACAATGAGCATTCTCAAGGTGCTCACTGTTGCCCTTGTGCTGTTTGGTAAGTCATCAAATTCTCAACTAACAAGTAACAGAGTAAATGAAAATTCACCATGTAACAAAAATGTCAACGCTTTTGTTCACAGGAACCAGCAGTCTTTCTGCTAAAATAAAGAGACAAGTGCAATCAAATTCATTTTTTACTCCAAATGACCATAGTCCACCTGGATCAGGACCACCCGGGCCACCAGGGCCACCTGGGCCAGCAGGACCAACCGGACCACATGGTCCACAAGGGCCTGATGGTCCACCAGGACCACCTGGACCTGGTGGTCCACCAGGGGTAGATGGACACCCAGGACCACCTGGACCAGATGGTCCACCAGGGCCAAATGGGCCACCCGGACCACCTGGACGAGATGGGCCCCCAGGACCACCTGGACTCGATGGGCCACCAGGACCACCTGGACCAGATGGGCCACCAGGACCACATGGACCACCTGGACCACCAGGACCATATGGACCACCTGGACCACCAGGACCACCTAGTGCACCAGGACCACCTGGACCACCAGGTCCTCCTGGGCCACCAATAAATTATCCATATTGGCCTCCCTTTAACCATGGGCAACGACCACCTTGGCCAACTGGTCCATATCCATATTGGCCACCTGGTCCACCACCATATTAGCCACATGGGCCAATGCCACCACCACCTGATCCAAACTTTCTTTCGTATCATAATTCACAAATATCAGCCATCAGTGCAGCCACCAGTGCAGCCACCTTTGTTCCTTGATAAAAAAAAACACCCATCTGGACACCAAATTCTCAAACAACCCCATGTCTTGCCCCCAATGCACCACCACCAGAACAACCCTTGCCATCACCAAATACTTCAGTTAAAAACAACCCACCTGGACAAGCACACTGCCAACCTGGACCATCTTTTCCTCCGGATGAAAATAAATCAATCTGGAACACGACCTTTTCAAACCTGAACCACCATCTAGGTCGCCACCAATACATGCCTCGCCAACCGAAGTTACTCCGGATGATCATGACCCACCTGGACTAACACCTTGCTCACCCAGACAACCTGTGACTGGTCAGAAACACACCCACCTGGACCAGCAGTGGGACCAACATCCGGTCCACACCCTGGGCTCGCTGGACATGTCACCCCGGGCCAAAGAGAGTTGTTTTTATTCCGAAAGAAAAGAAAAGCATTCAGTCCTAATAGTAATAATCATTATGTGGCCGTTGATGAGTAATTGCAAGATTTCCATCCTTGCCACCTGCGTTCAATTGAAATAATAAAGATATTTTTAATTCTGCACGATTTAGTTGCTTGAATGTGACCTCAATTCAGACATTCGGCCCTTTGTGTTCATAGATCATGACAGATCATGCTTGCTGGGTTTGGCATCAAATTGCAACCGCCTGCTGCCTTATCAACAATCATCACCAAAACGTACATCTTCCACTTACCAAATTCAACTCAACTTTATTTCGAGAGCACTTTAAAACAACCATTCACAAAGTGCAAGGCAGTTCTTTATCAACTGGTCACACCTGCCCACACTGTAACACCGCCACCACCAAAAGCTCGTCCACCTGTTCATATCCTGTCCAGGCATCAGGATGAGTTTCATAAATTAATGAAAATGTCTCGCTTTAATTCTTTTACACGGGACCAAATAACACGTTTTATTTGAGTGATGCTTTGTGACAAGATATAAAAATAATAAATAATTTAATTAATATGAGTGGCAGACTGCACCATGACCGGCATGTGGGACGTAGAGACTGGTGGGGGAAGACCCGGAAGGGAAAGTAGTGGTACTTGGGAAAAGTGTGTGTGGAGCAGGTGCGCTCAGTCACAAGCGTGAGTGCCATCGAGAAGTGTTTGTTGCTAAAATGGGATGGAATGAAGCCCCAGTTAAATAAGGAAAGACA